TATTTCTTTTCACAGGTATAAATGTCTATCATGAAGCATTTAGAATGATGGGACAACCGCCGTTCGGACTTCCAAGATGGACAAAATCTCCAACAATAAACTTGTAAGTACAATACGTTGAAAACTAAGAAAAATCGGGTAAATAATAAAAATATATTAAAAGCTAAAGATTTTGTCTTAAAACCTTTGAAGATGAATATCTCACTTATCATGATACTAGACTTCCTTAAATAATAGTTTAACAACTAGGTTGTAAGAAAATTAACTTTCGTGAGTGCTACCCGAACATCCGTCAAAATAACACTCTTGTGATTCCGGTCTTAATGTCACCAGGATTTAACGCGATCATACATTATATCATTACGTCTTATTGTTAAAAAAGAAGTTGATTACGTTACACGCGAGAATATGCTACCACGAGTTTGGACGTTTACTCAGGTTTATGTTTTATTAATGATCTCATTGAAATTGTTAATAAACATTGTGCCCGATACAATTTTCATTTCTATATAAGGGTTACTGTTAATTGATTGCTTCAAATTGGCCCAGTTGCATTTGATATGGCACGAAAGAAAGAAATATTGCAGATAACGAGAGTGCACTGAGATTTTCTCGCTTATTCCAATAAGAAAAATCCTAATTCTTTCGCATAAATTAATGATTAGACTTTGATAATAGCAGAAGTGTTAAGATACGACGTGCGAAAGGATAAATGTCTGCAGGAACGAAGTGTTGAAGAATTCTGAGCTAAGTTCATTTTTTAGCTGCGTGGCTCAAGTTAAATGAAATAAATGTATATATATTTATAGTACCAGAAATGTGGAAACATCTTGAAAATTTAGAATATATTCTTTACCTGATTTTGCGTTGGAACCATTTGCCATACTACTGGTTGCTCCGATTTAAAACGCATACCAACTCCAAGCGCAACGAAATTCGGTCTATCGCCCCACGGATTCTCTCGATAATTTGCATTCTTCTCATCTCTAAACGAAAAACAAATTTATTATTAGAAATAATTTAGTTTAAAAGGAAATTTGATAATTTTACTACATTCTAGAGTTTATTTTGTTAGATCTAATTATACATATAATTATTAGTAATCTAGTTTTTGAAATCTATTGTTTACGAAAAAGAGATGTTAAACTATTTTATTATGCTTATTCAGAGTTTGAATTTATTTTTAATACCGTAATAGAATTTCTTTATTAGGTTTCTGTTTTAGTGCATACGATATTATACTGATAGCAGCTTTTCAAGGGTTAAACATATAATTGGGGTAGAAATGTTAATATATGAGAAAGAGGCAAGAACTTCTCCAAAGCTGGTTTGATCCATGTGTTACATCTGTTATGGGAACAATAAAAATACTTTGGACGCTCGTTTTTTTCTCTTCTGTCTGTGCTTTCGGCACGTATGCACAATAGCGATTGGAGGAAAAAATAGAAGAGAAACTTTTCACTTAGAATTCAACGCTTTCTTACACTTTCAGAGTAATGGCGTGCATTCCGGAACACCCTGTATGTCCTAAGGTTGCTGTTTAATTTAATATTATCTGAATATAGCTGTACATACTATATCTCTAATTCACAATATTACCTTACAAATCTTTCTTTTTCCGACCTCGTCGCTATAATTTTGCCTTTGGTACGGCCGACGCCGGACGAAACCGAACCACTTCCCGCTACAATCCAATCGACATCAGGTCCTACGAAATATAGACAATTAAATTTTTTTTCGACGTTTTGTACCATATTTATCTCACCTGTAGCTATTTGTACGGTGGGAGAAATTTGCAAACCGTACATCACTAGACCATCGGCAGAGACCAAGGGTAATGATTTCCGCGCTAGACGAGCTCTGATAGCGGACATCATTGCGCCGCCATCGTGATGACCTTCCGATGCTCGCTTTCCTGCTGCAATCACTTCCTAAATGAACACAATCATTAAATGATTCATGCTTTTCGCATATATTTTAACTCTTTTAATCAATCGAGAATTAATTAAGGAATCAAGTTTAATGATCAAACTTGTACAAAACAAGTACCTCGGGCTCGTAGATCTGTGCCAAAACTGCCAAAGTATCGAGCGCGGCCTGTCGCACTCTTCGTCGACGATCCCTCACCATTTTAGCAATTTTGTTAGCCACGGTGTCTACTTTAAATTCCGTACTCGGAAACGTCACCAATGAGAAGATTAACAATTGTAAAGTGTTTTCTCTAGTCTATAACGTTACGCATTAAGAAAAAGTATAAGTAATCGAGATTAGTGCGAAGTAATGAAACAATGATGTTTATTCTCTTAATACTTTTCGAACAGTTGTTGAGACGTTAATCGAAATGTTTAAGGAAAATTGTAGCAAGAATCTTTTTATAAAGCTTACTTTGGCGTTTCTTGCTTCGAGACACTGCGGTTGTAAGAGTTGCTCGAGAAGAAGAGCAGGTCTAAGTCTGAGCATCGCGATTCTGGCCAATTGAGCAGCGCTTGGGCCACCCTGTCTAGCCAAACCCCACGCCAATTGTGGTAACCGTTGTTTCAGAGCTTCCTCGCTTACCCCATCGACCACTACCTGATATCATCGAATGATTATTATTATATGAGGCGAAGAAAACCTCGTGACGACATAAACCTCGATACAGAACACTCGTGTTACGTGTTAAGCCGGCAAACTACCGGTAGTGTGATTACTCTTCTATGCGATTATACAACACAGAATTCATATTAGCGTTTTCGTGAAAGGTTTAAGCACGAAACGTTAAGGATTTATGCATAATATTATGCGCTTAAGAAAGTTCGGGGATCAAGTTATTAATATATACAGGAGAACTTAACCGAATTTAGTTACAAACAAAATTAACTTAAAACTGTATTTTATAAGCTAGCTGAATTATCAGCTGACAGAAAGACTCATTCCTATTAAATTTTGTTATACTAATACAGTAGCAATAAAGGCGCTACTAACAAATATATTTTCTTCTCTTATTTTAGAAATTTATACAAGAATTAATCTGTAGAAAGTACAATTCGCTTTTCCTAGTTTTATTTTTTAAAAGAGAAACAATGATTCTTTTTTATCAAAGTACTGACATGCCATGACTTACGTACATTTACGTGACCAATAGTTAAAGAATAATCTTCACGACCTGATCAGTATTTTAAATTTATGACGACCAAAAAACGACGCTTAACAATTTAAATCTCGACCTACACCGCTAATAAAAGTTCAGCCTACAATTTTAATTCGATTCATCTTTCTTCCCGAAATATTAATTTAGCGATATGAATTGTTTCATACAAATAATAATATCTAGATCAAATTTAATGGATCCCTGAAAAACGCGATGTTTAATTAGAAAGTATTAAGCTTTGAAGCTGTTTTTTAATACAACAATCGACTTTTTTGCCAATACTCGGAATGAAATATACCTATCAAAATATGTATAGCAATATGTAAATGAACTTAGGTATCACTGAAGAGGAAGAGCAAATGTAGTAAATAATTGAACTCAAAATGTATTAATTCATAATTGCATTAAGCGCATTAATGATTCAGAATTTGATAAATAAAACACCGACGTGTTAACGATTGGATTGATTTAACGGTACAAACGTGCGAATTACCTTCGCTACAGCCAAACCTGCAGCCGCAACACGACAGCTCCTTTCACAGCCGAGTACCGCATGCAAGAGAGATCCTAATCGTGGCTCTATCGCGATCAGGGCGGAAGACGTTCGCAGAGCAGATGCCACCCTCTCTAAACCCCTGACACGAGCACGCCAATCACCCTGGAACAAGTTCCAATCAATAGCAGATCTTTTGTTAATAGTTCGTGCCTGTTGATATTAGATCATCTCGGAAACTTTTTCTCTGTCTTATCAAGCATTGATTAAAACAAGAGGATTTTATGAATTCAATTTTTATTTTGATGCAACTCTGATCTATCATATATGCAAGGTAGGTTTCAGTATACAATATTTCGAATAACTTCCAATTTAAGTTATTAATTCTTGGCTAGAATTGATGGAGTAAGTACATTGCGTTATTGAAAAATCAAAATTCGTTTTGTCAAGATTTTATAATCAGTTCTTATCCTCTAATAGTACAGTAATGATAGAACGTAATAATGCATTTGTATTTTTTATTACAACAGCATAATAGCAGATTACGTGTAGATTTGTGGTTTGACAACACAATGTGGGTGAAAAATTTAAGACACAGTTTCGGTCTTCTTCTTCAAAAGGAAGATATAGATAACGTTATTTATACGCTTATGACAGAGTGTAATGCAAGATGATAAAACGCATATAACGCACAGATATAACGCTGTTTATATGATAAAACGCTATAAACGCACAAATATAACGCTATTTATGAACAAGATAATATACAGTCACATTTGTATTGTTGTAACTTTTAACAGTGTTTGATAAAAATTATGATATCGATACCGGCTCTTGAAACTGTTATCGAAAAGCGAAAACAACTATTATTAGATATATCGGTTTTGTTTTAATTGGTTCTTCGGAATCGAAACCGAAACCGATATTGGTCAGAACTGGTATACCTAACAACAGTTATCAAATAAGAAAACCGATATGTGACGGTTGGAAACAATTATTTTCGGAATCTTTTCAATTCCTGATAAGAAGTTTGTCAAAATTTTACCATTATAAGGTGTGTGTATGAAAAGTATCATTTACACGTAATGCCGTTGGTCAAGAATCAAGAGTTGTCGAGCGAACATTATCGATCGTTGCACCAAGTCTGAATGCAACGTGCTGGTACCATCTGCATTCACTTTCCAATTCAACACTGTTCGCAGGATAATGATCGATGTCTGTCGAGTTTTTATAAACTACATCTCATTAAACGTATACACCAAATTCCGATAATAGTGAAAGCTCACAAACTCTTCACGAAATGAACTCAATATCAGCTTTCACACGGTTTAACGTTCTAAAACCATTTTGGGAACATATAAAAACTATGACGAAAATATAACTCTTTTTAAATAGAGCAGACATAAAAACCATCATTCCCTGTTGCGGCTGCGCTCGCAATATAATTGTTTTAATAAAAAAATGATAGAATTCATTTTTTAAGTACCTTTTTTATAAAAATTTGTATCATAATTTAAGATTGTTAAGATGCTTGCTGAACTCACTCTGGAGCAAGCTATATGTATAATAACGATTCGTGCGAGAAAAGGAAGAGAATTTGTAAAAATACATATGTACATTTTACTGAATGGATCTACTCCCGAAGTTATGCCCACATTTTCGAAAACACCCTGTGTATGTGTAAATATATTAAAAAAGTATATTTCAAACATGATTTTGGTCCAAAAACTTAAATGACATTTCAGCCCTTTGAGCTTTGAATTAGCGTGGTATTCGCAATTCGAAATTTCTACGCGAAACAATTCTGAAAATTATCATAATTACCGATATTTGCACATAAACCAGTAGCGAAACGAAGATTTAATTCGTGGACCGAGAACGTGTTGCACGCAATAACGTTCCTAATTATTTTCTTGTTACCCACATTTCCCTCCGAGGCCCATAATGTCGCGCGCGAGGAAATCTCCTCTCGTTTTTCATCCGCGGACAGAATATTCATATCACGGTACGCGGCTCCCGCCATCGCATCGTTGAGAAACTATTTCAATGCCCGCGAAACGAAACAGCATGCATAATTCACGTACTATTTCACTGCCACGAAGATACGAACATCGTCCACGGGGAAAATATCTTCTAGGAAGTGTGATTAATCCAACTAATCGTGCGATATGCCGTGATTCTTTACGGGGGTCAGAGTGCCGAAGAAATTCTAACGAGGAAAGAAAAATAGCGATAACAGATGATTAAAACATAACGACTTTGTATGGTAATGATGTATAACTTTCAACTGCAGAATAGGTATGCACAGTGGCTGTAAAAAATATTCAAAGGCGTTGCGTAACATGTAAATTAATTTAGATGATGCGAAGTGTGAAATATAAAGAACATTCGATGTATTTCATCTTACGTGATTATGTGATATATCGCTTGAATTGGATTTTGGTTCATTCTCAGTGTAAGAGCTTTCCCACATTTCATCGTCTGGTTTTTGACGTACGATTAAAAACACATATTGGCTGAAAACCGACATTTCTATGTCATAATTTTCTACGACACGAAATAAATCACGTGTATAATCTAATAGTATAAAATCAATAGGAAATATCATAGAAAATAAATCTTATATTGGCCGATGCACAGTCAACATATGTTTTTAACTGGACGTCGAAAGCCGGACGACGGAATCCGGATAATGTGAAAAGGCTCTTAAGTACTTAGTACTAAGTAGTTAGTTACGTTATGTGGAACGTATGAAGTACTTGGCTACTATATCTCTTGCACTATGTGCGTGTTTTTAAGGGTGGAAAGTGTGACAGGCTTGACTTATACAGCTCATTGTGTTTTACACGTTTATTGAAACGAAGTAATTTCGAATGTTAATCATCAAGACTGACCGTTCATTGTTTCTTAAGTATCAACTTGTTGTACTTCATTAAAAGACGTAACAACGTATAAGTAAATATAGTAGACGTACGTCATCGTTTCTATTAACTGTATGTTTGCAAGGCAGAAAAAAGCACGTAACGTACGAATGGAGGTATATACGATAATTGGTATAACGGAAAAAAATAGCGCTCCTCGTGGCCGTGAAAGTACCTTCTTTTTATTCAACAGAAGTTTAAGGTCACTGTATACTTTCCTATGAATGTTATGCAACAAGAATCGGAAAAAAATTAGTAGTATAGTTCAATGCCGATTCCAGATGTTAAATAAATCATAATCATTTACATGTACGTACAATTTCTTTTATTTGAAGATCCAAAATGTAATTTAAATAATAATTAGCTCGTGCAACAAATAATTAACTCTTCGTTTACATCCTTATTTGTACTAATGTCATCTGCATGTCAAATCGTTTAAGTTATCGTTTAAGTTAGAAAATATTCTTGAATACTTCTCAGAGATTCCAGGATAACATTCAATAGTTTTTATTACTACATGTTATCTCTTTTTTAAGTAAAATAAAATTCATACGAAAATGTTACAGGGAACAGACTGGGTCGAAGGCGACCCAGTATGCAGACGAAAGAATAAGTAAGCCGTTAAATCGACTCTGGTTTAATTAAATTAAAATTTTTTTACATTCATAAGCACTATGAGATCAAATCTCGATACGCGGACCTGAGCTAACCGAATTAGTATGCAACTAGAGTCTTCGAGCTTTCGTGCGGGACATACCTTCCTCAGGAACGGATTTACCTGATAACATCAGATAAGAGTTTAATCTAGGGGACAGAATACACAAACGTTCATTACAGGAACATAAAATTTTTACCTTATTACAAATACTTTGAATAATTTATTTAATAGCTTAAGAACTTTATTAAAATTCTATTGCAACTGAATTTTTCTCTTCTATTGTAACTATAATCTGTAGCAACTCGTTTCTTCACATAACTATTGTATTGAATTGTAGAGGATGTCAGTGCCTACAACTTCTGTCTAAAAAGCTTTTCGCCAGCGTCAATAATTAATTGAATATTTCCTTTTATACTTTTTAGCACGTAGCTATTTAT